AGGTTAGAAAAGATAGTTTTGTTTTACTTTGAATAGTGAATTCAAAGTAAAGGGAAACGATGTTCCCCTTTAACTCTAATATTGCTAAGCTCCTCTCCTCATTTCTAACTTTGTATCTAGTTCTCCTTTTCTTAGGAAAGGAGATCATGAATATTAGTTTATGTTAAATTAGCATAAAAACATATAAATATGTATGCACACATAGTTGTTCCTTCCTTGTAAAATATGTGTTTTAGATCATATTTATATGGTTACTAATAAACTTATTGGATGATGCTTAAAATGTCATTGTGCCTCTTCTTGTTTTTCAAGACTGTTTCATTAAGGATGAGTCAGAGGCATGTGCTGACATCTTTGTTGAAATAGCTGCTTTCTCTGTGTGCTTCTATTATCAACTTGATAAACATTCATCTGTTTATTCAGCATACTATTTTAGGGGTCCTAATATTTGTTTTGTTTTAATTTTATTTTTGAATTTGTACAGAGTAGTATTGATTTGAAATAAAAACTATATCAGGGATGATTTAAAGGAATCTAATTCTTGCCCCTTAACCCTTCATACCATTAATACCTTTCCCCATGTGTAGCCATTTTCATAATTTTCATAACTTTGTTGAGATATATCTGCTACAAAGTTTCCCATCTGAAAGGATATGGTTCAATGGCTTTTAGTATATTCATAGATTAATATAACTGCCACCAATATCTAATTCCAGAAACTTTCATTATCCCATAAAGGAACACCACATCCAATAACAGTGACTCCTTATTAGTATGCAATATTTTGTCTATCTATTTATATGTTAATAAGCGATTGGTTTATTTATACCTTTGAATAACTATGAACAGTCCCATTATAAATATCTGTAAGGTTCTGTCTGGACATCTGTTTTTTTATTTATAATCAGGGTTTATAATCAGGAACTACAATTCCTGAGTCATGTAGAACCCTATAATTAATTTTGAGAATACTTTTTGAGGGTCTCTTTGTGTAGAGTTGGCTGTCCTGGGACTTGCTCTGTAGACCAAGCTTACCTAGAACTCACAGAGATCCACCTGCCTCTGCCTCCAAGTGCTGGGATCAAAGGTATTTATCAAAATCAGATTGTGCTTCATTTGACAAATTTTAGCATGTGTGTGTGTCCTTATGTTTTTAATTTTCATCTGTTAGGAAAAAATGCTAGAATATTACATCCTCTGATTTATGACTTAAGTCTTTTGTTGTTACTTTTTTTATAGCTTAATATGTATAATGTATCCCATGGGAAATAAATGCATAGACAGACATACTTCTTATTCTTTTTTATGACTTCAGAATACTACATGATTGAGTATATTCTTTTTTACTCAACAAGTATTCATTGTTTGACATTTGACTGTACCCAATTTTTATTATTAAAATTATGCTGTACTGACCAACAGTGCATATATACTGTTTTGTATTTGTGGAGATATATCTTTAGAATAGAAACCAAAAAGCACGATTGGTAAACTGTATATTAATATGCATATATGTTAAATAGTTTTGAATCCCCCTCTCTAGAAGCATACTAAACTAATATTGCAATTAGTCAGAGTGCTTGTATCCCATAATCTTGATAGAAAATGGGAACTGAAATTTGCCAATGAATGAGTAGCTCAGTACAAGTTTAACTTGCATTGTATTACTATGGTGAAATTGAGTATTAAATTCCCACACATTTAAGTCTTTCCATTTCTACGATTCATCTAGATGGACCTCTTTTGGCTTCAATGACTTTGAAGACCAGGAATGCTGTAGATGGGAAGATGGAGGCAGATACCCCATCACTTACTACCAACAGGAATATTATCATGAGTCCTAGGGCTCTTGCCACACATTAGATTTTCAGAAAGTCACAGCTAAAATACTGCTTTAAGATCAGCTGATTCAGGTCCTTCTAACTCTATATTAACACACTGAGGGTCAAAGATCACATAATGAATTTCCCCAGAGGTAGACCTAGGAATTGAACCCAGTTGTTTTCCCTAGAGTGATTTCAAATTAATGTGCAAATGATTTCTTTGTTGATTTTTCTATTTTACTAAGATTAAATCAAAGTATATTTTGAAGAGAACATGTCTCTTAATATTCTTTATTAGCCTGTACTGCAGACATCAACAATAAACCAAATTCTATTTTTGTCATCCAGGCATATTATTTATATCAGCATCTTTAATATCTACTTGCCATCGAAGTGTAAAAAAATCTTAGAATGTACAAGCTGGATGACATTTCTGGAAATACCTCATATCTGAGGAATATCTGAGGTCTAGATAGACAGAATGCTCAAGATATACCACAGGGACAGCCAAGAAGGTTCTTAGTCTGAGATCTCACTATCACTAAATGCCTGAATTTTAGGTGTTCAGATTCTCTCTCGATATGGTTCAATATAGCACTGGTGAATTTTGGAAAAGTGTAGATAGACTTCCTTGCTAAACATATATTTAAGATGCATTATATTTTAAGCTTATTTACATATTACTGCTTAAAATACCAGGAGATATCTTGAGAGGGACAAAACAATACAATGAGCTAGCAACAGAACTGAAATAAGCACCCCAAGTTTGATAACTTCTGAAAAGCATGCTTCCGTCTTTGTCTCAATCCAAGTAAATTAACTTTGTTCACAAATATTGAAACTTTTCCATGAAGCATCATAATGGAGCATGTCTTAGTTAGGGTTTCATTGCTATGAAAAGACACCATGACCAAGGCAACTCTTATATTGGGACAACATTTAATTGGGAATGGCTTACAGGTTCAGAGATGCAGTTCATTATCATCAAAGTGGCTATCTTGGCTATCTATGGAACATAGCTTCACTGGGCTCTTAGAAAACACTTCCCAGAAGATTTCATTTCAATGATGGTCTCTTCTTAATCATCACTCATTTCTTAGCTCCAGCTAACCAGCACCAATTGTCTCAGTAGTCCCTTCTATTCTGGACTCTAAAGCCAGAGCCACATGGCCAAAGCTGCTGTTTGCTGGAGCTGGAACATGGTCCCCTTGTTCTATTACATTATCACCAGCTTCCTGTTTTCCAACTCTTTCACTGTCTAAGCTTGGCTGTCCTGGATCTTGCTCTGTAAACTGACCTTTGAACTCAGAAATCTGCATAGTTCTGTCCCCTGAATGCTGAGATCAAAGGTGTGTACCACCATTGCCACAATTCCTCCATTTCTGGATTGTAGTTCATTACAGATTGAAAGGCCAAAAGAAAGCAACAACCAGATAAAAATAATCTCTAGATCTAACTATTCCTTGTTCAATGGCAAATGCATAAATAATAAGTTTATATGGGTAGGATCTTGCCCCACACTCACCACTCCTTTAAATATGTTGATCTTCTTGAACACAGGGTTTAGCTTCATTGCACCTCCTGGTACCCTTTTATTACTTGAACCATACAGATTATTTATCTTTCCTTTCTAAGCTTGCTACACTTCATCAAAATGCTTTTCATGAGACTAAACCACAGCACAGAGTCTAGACCGAGTTGTTTTGAGACATCCTTTGTCCATACAATTAATTTGACTCTCTTCACCTTAGCCTCAGACAGACTCTAGAGACAAGAGAAGAAATCAGCCACATTCTTCACCAAAATATCACACTAACAGTCTCTCTGCCACATACTAAAATTCTTCTCTTCTGAAACTTCTAGAACCAGCTTCTAAAGTTCAAATCACCTTCATCAATAAAGTCTTCCATCAACAAAGTCTTCCATATTAGGATGGCCCATTAAGCCCCACTTAAAGCATTCTACCACTTTCAAAATCCAAAGTCAAAAAATCCACATTCTTCCAAAAAAAAAAAATCATGGTCAGGCTTATCACAGCAATATCCTAGTCCCTGGTACCACCTTCTGTCTTAGTGAACAGATACCATGACCAAGGCAAGTCTTATAAAAGGACAACATTTAATTGGGGCTGGCTTATAGGTTCAGAGGTTCAGTCCATTATCATCAAGGCAGGAAGCATGGCAGCGTCCAGGCAGGCATGGCTCTGGAGGAGCCAAGAGTTCTAAATCTTCATCCAAAGGAAACCAGGAGTAGACTGTTTTCAGGCAGCTATGAGGAAGGTCTCAAAGTCCACCCCCACAGTGACACATTTCTTCCAACAAGGTCACACCTCCCAATAGTGCTACTCCCTGGGCCAAGCATATTCAAACCACCATAGAACACATGAATATATCCTTCTATGTCTCCTGCTATCTACCACAGCAGACCAGGTTGAGCAGAATCCTAGCATCTCTCCTTATATCCATTTCTCTTTCCCTCCCTCTATCAGTCCACTCCTCTTTTTCTCCATCCCTTCTTTGTCTTTCTTTCTCCCCTCTTCCCTCTCCCACTTTACTTCCTTTTCTTCTTTCTTTTGGCAAGGTCTCACTACATAATATTCCAGGCTGTCCTCAAACCTGATAATCATTCTATACTATATTTCTAAAGGCTAGGTAGGCTTTTACACACACACACACACACACACACACACATACACACACAAACACACACACACACAGTGTCTTGCAAAATTTTGCACATCTTAAGAGCTCACTATGTCTTATGCTTTTTCCATGTTCATTTGAATCCATGACACTCCTATTTCATAGTAATCAGCATTGTCATCATAGAGATGAACACATAGAGGCTTAGAGAGGCCAGCTTGCTATTTAGACAGCTAAGTAAGTTGTAGAACTGAAATACAAAACTAGGCTTCTCTGACAGTAAAGTCTATGTCTGGTCCTGGTGCACAGCATACCTACCCTAATGCTACCTTTCAGATAAGACAGTTCTGGGGCCTATTGACTCTAGTTTTCATAAATGGGTTAAGGCAAAATGGACCTTGCTCAGAGAATATTCAAATGGCCCAAGTAAAAGTTGGGGGATAGTGCTCAATGGGTTGAAAGGCAGTTTTTCTTTAATCATATGATATGTGTTGCACCCTCAACAGAGACTCTTTCTGAAAACGCAGTTACTTACTTTACCAAGTGTTTGATTAGAAGTTCCAGCATCTCCCGGTTCTTTTCTGGTAGCTTATATACTAGGGAGTGAATAGCCCCCAGACGGTAATCTAGGTTGTCAGATTCTGGCAAAGAGAAAAAAAGACAGATGGTTTAGCTACCAGGTGACTCGATTAAGGAAACCCTCATATATATGTATGTGTACACACACACACACACACACACACACCACACATCTACCTGAACACAGGGAGATGGAGAAGGGAAAGATAAGAAAAGGGAAGAAGAGAGGAGGAGCAAAGGAGAGAGGGGAAGAGAGAGTAAAACAGATGAAGAGAGGAAAACAGGTAAATAAATAGGCACAGACAGAATAAATGAGAAAAAACAGAAACAAAAGTAAACATGGCAAGGAGAGATTAAAGAGCATAAGAAACAAAACATAGGTTCAAAAGTGGGGGGTGGACAAGACAGTCTCAGAGACAAGGAAGAACTGCAGTCACAGCAAGTTGTCTCTAAAGACCCAAGCAGAGCCTCCAGTAAGAAACCTTTCAGCAACTACCACTATGTGTGAGATACTAAGGCTGCTGTCTTCCAAAGTCAATCCCCTGAATCGCCCAGAAGCACACACCACATGCCTCAAGTTAATCAGTTCTCTTAAAATCATGCCCCCAACATTGGTTATAAAACTTATCTACCTCTGAACACTAGCAAGTAGAAATATTCTCACTTGGCTGTGGGCAAAATCTAAGTTGACTTTGGGAATTTTTCTCTCAAAGCAGTTTTTCTAACTTATTGCAATGAAGTTACTAAGAAACCAGAACTGCACAATTGATCTAGTAACCCAAATACTTACTGGCAGCAGAGACGAGCTCTTTGTGGAGCTTATAAGTCATGACAGGTTCTGAGAGATTCCTGAAATGGATGGAGATCATCACTTTTTTGGAGGAAGGAGTAAAGCCTCACAACTTAGCCTGATAGCACACATTTCAGGGAAGCTTTACCAGGGGAATCCAAGTTTAACAGAAGATCTGCAAAAATATAGGCTGAGGCTCCTAGCAAAAGTCTCCAGTTAGCTGCCCAAAGTGACAGGAAATGAAAACCTGTCCTGTCAATTCTCAAACAGACACACTCTAAACATGAGCATGTGCTTATAGCTGATGAATCTGAAGAATTTCCAAGGCACATTTGTACCTATTCTATTTGATCCTTCCACTGATTCTATGAAGTGAAGTGGGATTGAAACGACATGATGAGTTAAGGGATGGAGTGAAAACCTGGGAAATCACTAACCATAAAAGCAGAAGCTTCTACAACAAAGAAGTAATTTCAGGCAGGAATCCAAATATTAGGCTAGAACAAGGAAGTAGGCTTCAGACATGAAAATGACCTTGGGCTAGGACAGGGAAGTAGGCTCAGATATTTTGGTCACCCTGATAAGCCCTTAGAAACAGTGATTGGAGAAGTGATCATGGGACTTTGTATATTGTCTTGCTTGTTCTTTGTTTATTTGTGTTTATTGTCTTGCGTGTTCCTTGACTATTTGTATCTATTGTATTGCTAGATCCTCAACCTAGAACTGACCTTAATACTAGCACGTAATTAAAATGGTATGAAAGCAAAAAGGAGGAGGAAGGATGGGATAGGGGTTTCTAGGGAGGGAAAAAGGGGAAAGGGGATGACATCTGAAATGTAAATAAATAAAATATCCAATAAAAAAAAAGAATCAGGAAAAAAAAGAGTGAATCATCAAGAAGGATATGATCTCTCTCAAAATATACTAACTTTTATTAGTATGTTTTTAAATTTTATTATAACATAAAATGTTATTAAAATATTATACACTTAAAAAAAAAAAGCAGAAGCACCGGGTGGTGGTGGCGCATGCCTCTTTATTAAACTATCAATATAGTCCAAAGACAGGCCATTGAAAACAGGGTTGGAGGGAGACACCCCAAGACAAATAACATCTTAAAGCATAAATTAAGTTTTAAAAAATGCCACCTATAACCACAAACATACTTGGGGAAGCAGGAACCTCAGTTTCCCAATCTGTAAAAGGAAATATTGCACTGCCTGTGGTACACAAGTGTTGGGATTAAAAAAACATCAATGAAATTGTCAACAGCACACTGCCTAGCACACAGTAACCCCTCCAATAGCATTTCCTTTCCTTTTTATGGAAGATAGAGTAGACATGTTTCTGAAAAGAGCATCCTATTTATATGAAGCTAGAACTACACCAAGACAATGCTATAGTGAAGGTTACTCAACAGCAATGGCATGATTCAACTGTTTGGAATAATGAGAGTTTAAATACATATCGTAATGCTAAAAGATCACAAAACTTGAAAACACTTGGGTCTCAAATACTATAGGGCATAAAGAATGCTAATGACAAACTGAATGGGGCACCATGTGTGCTAGCACACACTTTTAACTCCAGCTGTCCAGAGGCAGAGGCAAGTGGATCTCTGTGAGTTGGAGGCTAGCCTGGTCTACATAGAAAGTTTCAGGCCAGGCTACAAAGTGAGACTCTGCCTCAAAAAGTTAATAGAATGTATATATACAAGTGTATGTATATGAATATAGTATTTGAATGTATAAAACACATGCATATTCAAATATATTTTAAATAGCATATACTTATGCCAATAAAAAGGACATAATCTTATTGGTACTGTATCCACAAATTTTTCCATTAAGTTAATATTTTTCTTACTGCTGTTACTTCATTTCTTTCCAACATCGTATTTTCTTCTATATTTCCATCTATATGGATTAAAACATGACAGTACAGTATAGCCTTCTATATCTGAGCTGTATCTACATGATGATAGTTTTAAAGCATAGTGTATATTTTTAGTAACAAATTTAATCTTGATACTTTTTATATTAAATCCTCATATTAAAAAGTATGTTTTCTAGATCTTAAGCTGATGATAAATGACTATTATTCTAGCATTCAAGAGGCCAAGCTAGGATGGTTATATCAATTTCCAGTCCAGCCTGGGCTACATAGATAGTCCCTGACTCAAAGACAAACAAACGAACAAACAAAAGATATCTTATATACAATTTTAGACAAAAATCCTCTTTAATTTAGCATCTTTTTCCAACTTTCTGAACATGAGACTATGCTCCAATCTCTATCCAGACAAATTTCACCAATGATAAAGAGCAAAATCCCAATTCAAGTAGAGCATACCTGAGGTAGAATTTTAAAGAGCTTGTGATTGTCTTAATGTCCCAGTCACTGTTATTGAAATCGACATCCCCTGGACATTTTGGATCTAAGAGAAAAACAAACAACAACAACAAAAACAGTAAATCTTCCAATAAATTTTATTTGTTACATTCTTTTTAAAATGAAGTATATTAATTAGAAGGTGGCTACTCTAATAAATTGAATTTTCAAGAAACCAAAATTTTGCAAAAAGAAGTCTATTCTTCTTTCAAAAATTCTCTTGTGTTTTGGCCCAGTATGTAAAAAGTTTGGAAATCATCACTTCTAGCTGAACTATGAGAAAAAAAATGCCAAAGGAACTGAACAACTCTGCGGATTACCAAAATTCTGCAATGGCAAAGACAACTGCCATTGCCAAACTGTGAAAACAAACAGCCTGCTCCAGAGCCAGCACTTTCGGCCAGAAGCTCAAGAGTAGAAACTCCATGGAAACCAACACAGAAAAACCTAATCTGTAAATGAAAAAATTGCTAAGACCCAATATTTTTGAGTTTCAGAGGCAAAACTAACTGAGTGCCCAAATCCCATTAAGAAACCCCATGAGTTTGGGCACTCCCTTAATTTTACATTAAGAATGCTATCAGTTTTCCAGAGTAGAAGTCTTAAAAGGAAAAAAAAAACTAGAATTGATGATTTTAGTAAAGGTGGAAGAAAAGTAGCCATGTGCCTAGACCTTTGAGGTCTTAACAGAAACTCTTTTACCATGCTTTACAACTGTTTTACCACAATCTGAATGAACTGAGTAGTTAAAAAAACATATTCAACTCCACACCCAGTCTGTCTCCCTAAAAGGGGACATCAAAAATAAACTGAGAGGCACTGGGAAAGGTCACACACCAGTGGATCATGCACTAGAAGACAAAGAATCACAAGGGATATGGAACACTTCCCCATCCCACAACACCTGACCACCACATCAATCAGCCTTCTGCATACTAACAGTACTCATTCTGATGAAAAGAATGGGACAATTCACTAAGCTTCCATGGGAATCCAAAGATAGAGAAAAATCAAAACCACAAACTTAACCTGAGCCAAACATAAAGTTTCATTTTCAAAGTACATGCACCACCATTATTTTTATCCATTACATCATATCTAGCTTATAAAAAGTGAGAAAACACTGTTTAAGGATGCAGAAGAAACGTGAGAACCACACTTTGATATGGATATTTTGAAATATAAGCTCACAATTTGAAACAGCTATGATTAATATTAAAGGCTATAATACACAAAAGTGGACAACGTAAAAGAAGAGATGGATAAAGTAGAAGATAGATACAAAATCCACGGAAGCATAAAAACAAATGCTAAAAATCAAAGCACTATAATGGGAAGGCAGAACAGCTTTAAGAACCGAACAAGGTGAGAGAAACATCAGTGAGTCTGAAGAAACCCCAATGGGTATTTCTAAACTGGAAATACAAACAAAAACATATCGAAGAAGGGACAACAGAAAATAAAGCTATGAAAGGTATCATGTACATGTGATAAGAATTAACATGACAAAATGAAAGATAAAAGAAAAGATGAAAACGAGATTTTTGGATGTAGCTGAGTAGCAGAGTATTTTTATTTTATGTGTGAGGCCCTGAGTTCAGCTCCCAGTGCTGGGGGCAGGAGGGGGACGAGGGGGCATGGTGACAAATGGGAAAGAAAACAAAAGAGAGAAGAACAGACAAAAAAAGAACTGAACCAAGAATTTCCAAACGCTAATGATAAATGCCAAACCACAAATACAGGAAGGAATCATCGGAAAAGACACACACTCACACAGAGGTGGCCGGGGTAGGGAGGGGAAGAAAAGAGACTGCTGAGAATGAGTGAGGTACCCAGCTCCAATCACTTGAAGTACAATCCAACCCTTACATCAAGGTGCCTGTTGCTAAATGACAATGAGTTAGGATATGGATTTCTAGTATTTTTATTCATTTATTTTTATTAGATACTTTATTTATACTTTATTTATTTACATTTGAAATGCTATACCCTTTCCCAGTTTCCCTCCAGAAAGCCCCTATCCCATCCCCCTTCCCCTTGCTTTTATGAGAGTGTTCCCCCAGCCACCCAGCCACTCCCTTCTCCTCGCCCTGGCATTCCCCTACACTGGGGAGCCTTCACAGGACCAATAGCCTCTCCTCCCATTGATGCCCGACAAGGTCATCGTCGGCTACATATGCAACTGGAGCCATGGGTCCCTCCATGTGTACTCTTTGGTTGGTGGTTTAGTCCCTGGGAACTCTTGGGGGGGGTCATGTTGGTTGATATTGCTGTTATATGGGGTTGTAAACCCCTTCAACTCCTTCAGTCCTTCCCCTAACTCCCTCATTGGGGTCCCTGTGCTCAGTGCTCGTGCTCAGTCCGATGGTTGGCTGAGAGCATCCACCTCTGTATTGGTCAGGCTCTGGCACAGCCTCTCAGGAGACAGCTATATCAGGCTCCTGTCAGCAAGCACTTCTTGGCAGTGACAATATCTATATACATATAACCTACAAAAATTAAATCAAGCCGGGCAGTGGTGGCACATACCTTTAATCCCAGCACTTGGGAAGCAGAGGCAGGCAGATTTCTGAGTTCGAGGCCAGCCTCGTCTACAGAGTTCCAGGACAGCCAGGGTTACACAGAGAAAACCCTGTCTCAAAACAACAACAAAAAAATAAATCAAATTTCCAACAAAACAAATGTCAACATATCAAGGCCCTACAAAAGAATCCAGTTGGCTACTAGCTATCTCTAGGGACTTGATTTATAGATTCAAGAAGAGATCACCTAGAAAACAAGTAGGTCATAACAAATCTCTACCCAGATGTCAATTTTATCTTACCTCAATTATAATGGAAAAGGTCACAACTGACAGCAAAAGATGGAGATGATGTTGGGGAAAGGGAAATCTCATTCAGTATGGAGGGATTGCAAAGTGGTCCAGCCACTCTGGAAATCAGTGTACAGAATCCTCCAAAAGCTAAACATATACCCAGCATATGACTCAGCTATAACACCCCTCAGCATATTGCCAAAGGACCCAACACCGTACTCCACAGATACTTCTTCAGCCATGCTCATTGTTGCTCTATTCACAACCACTAGGAAAGCATAACAATCTACATGTCTTTAAACTAACAAATGGGTGGTAAAAACATGGTACATATATACCATGGATACTATTCAACTATAAAGAAAAAGGAAATTTGCAGGTAAAGGGATAGAACTAGAAAAGATCATATTGAGTGGTATAATCCAACCCAGAAAGACAACCATCACATATTCTCCCTCATCTGAGCTTTCTAGCTCTAAATCTTTAGATGTGAGAACATAATCTGGAGTAATTGCAGAAACTAGGAAAGGTTTTAAAAAACCTGTTATGGGGGAGCAGTAGAAAGGGGAATAACAAGGTACAAGTAAGTGATAGGAAGATGAAAGCAAGGTCTTTAATTAGGAAAGAGGAAAGATATAAATATGGAAAGAGCAAGGAGGGGAACAAAATAGTAAGAGTATCAGAAAAAGTCATAAAGAATCATACCAGATATATATATATATCGCATATAAAAAATTCTGTATATATACAGTTTAAATAAAAAGATATTCATACCTGGGATGACATTGCTTTCCTAAGAGCCATAGACCACTCAATAAAAATCCTAACAGTAGGAATGAGAAGCCCTCTTTTGAGTTGTCCATGAAACTCTCAAAACATTGGAGGCTATTGCTACAGTACTTGGTCACCACCCAAAGGTAGGAGGTCAGACCCCATCGATAAAGGCACCATGTACATCATACACAAGACCCAGAGGTCCTGAACTGGATATGACCTGAAAGCCTCTTCCCCAAATATGCTTTCATGATACAAGAAGACAACATGCAACCTTCCAAAGAAAGGAAGCAACCAATAGTACAACCTAGGTATTATGTCTATGAACTACAACATATCCAGCATGTCAGGATATGTCTAAGGATGCAATAGAAGCAAGGATGCCTTGGCAGTAACCAATAGCTCTCTAAAATTTAAGACCTGTTCAACAAGAGGGAAATCATGTCTGATACCAGAAACCTGGTCAACTGCCCATGGCTAATAAAGCCATGGATTTTGGAAGAGAACCTACAACCACCACTTTATTAGATCAGCATAATCCCTAATTACAGTCTAAATATCTGGCCCTATACCTGTGGATACGTGTTGTCAGTAGCCCTCCCCTCATCAAGGAAATTTCTCTTTGCAACAGACAGAGACCATTGCAAAAAAATATAATCCATCAAAATTCAGAGTTGTGGAACCTACTCCCAACTGATATCTACAACTCCTGCACCTAAGGCTCGGTGATCAGTTTGTGAGAGGGAGTGAAACAATTGTAAGAGCCAAAAATTTCATCTCCTTGAAATGCCAAGGCAGTCTCAACAACATAGATAGCTAAATAACACTCCAACAAGGAGACACAATAGATATGTTAAGGGAGGAGGGAAAGCTCATAAGGCCTTGACTCCTAGACAAAGAACTACTAAGAGATGCTGAAAGTGAGAAGAGAACAGCAACTGCTTTCCAATACCAAAAGATCAGCCCTGAAAACATGCATACATGTAACATTGTATGGACTAAGAAGGTTGGATCTACATTGTGTGTGTGGTGTGTGTGTGTTTGTAAATATGTACATATGTATGCTAACAATAATTTAGTAAGAGGTCATTAATTTGAAAGAGAACAAGGGGGTAAATGAGAGGATTGTAGCAGGAAAGGAAGGTGGATAATGGTGTAATTATAATCTCCATATTTTATGTTTGGTTCTACCCTAAGTCTCTTAGCCAGCCACCTTCCAGATCCTGGCCATCTACGCAATGTTGGGCATGGGTTCCCTCTCGTGGCTTCAGCCTCAAGTTAATCAGTTATTGGTTAGCTATTCCTACAAGCTCTGAACTACCATTGCCCCAAAACATTTTGCAGGCAGGACAGGTTGTGGGTTGTAGGTTTTGTGCCTGGGTTGGTGTCCCAGGCCCACCACTGATAGCCTAGCCTGACTACAGAAGATACAGAAGATCACCGGTTCAGGCCCCATA